GTACGTGTGATTGTGCGTGTGATGGAGAGAGACTATATTGAGGTCAAAGCAATTGAATTTATGGTTATGGGTACTTTTTTCAGTCTCTTCTTTACATTTTGTCATAGTCCAGTTAAAGCAATATAGCATTTTCTTCAAAAATTTGAGGAACATATGAGCTTAATTCTCCATAAGATTTGTTTTATAGTTTTGAAAAATGCATTTTCACATTGTCCAATAAAGAGAAATTGGGTTTAGTAACGAAAAAAATCTATAATAAAAAATCTAACCATTTAACCTAAATATAATGGACATAATTAAACCACATATGTTAATTTTTGTTAAATTCCTGATAATTATTATTTTTTGGCTAGTGAACAAATTAACCCTTTTTCTTTTGTTGGGTCATTGGATTGTATTAGACTATTAGTGTTGTCTTACTCATATATCTAATGAACTGATTCTTAGACATGCTATTACAAATGCTTGTTTATTATTTTCACGGATCTTATTTTTTAATCCATTATAGATTCTCGATTACCCCAAAATAAGAGTGCTATAAAATGTGAAGGACTACTCCCAAATAAACTTGTCTCTTAAACCATCTCAAATTTTTTGTAGAATGAAAGAGGCATGTTGTGCTCGGAGTAATTGTATGGTATGAAGTGAATACATATTTAGATTATCTTTACACTCCCATTAACTTTGATTATTGCCAGTTTGTCTATCTCACAAAACGTGTTGTCTTATCGTATTGGTTCAATGGTTTGATATATTGCTTCGATGATTCTTTGTTGTGATTTTGTCACCTACATAGTTTCAAACATTCATGTACTAATTATTAATGTTTTAAAATTGTTGACAAGGATAAATCGTCCGAAGCTTTACATCTACCATCTTTGATGGAATTGCTTCATTGTTTTGTTCAAATAGTTTTATGGGGGAACATATGTCATCTTTTTTTGTTTTGATAATATGTGAATTATGTACTAAAAGAAACAAATTTTTTACATAAACTTGGCGAAACTAAACAGTTTTAAGAGGCAAAAAAATATAAATAAAAAAGTCTAGTGAATATCAACCTTTAATCCAACTATATATGAGTTTTTCAGACTTACCATTTTTTGATAAATAAATAGCATCATCTCGTGCATCCCATGCATATAACGCGTTACATCCATAAATGGGAGCTCCTTCATATGCCGTAAAACTCTGATGATATTCTAGTTTAGCCCCTTTCCACAAGTTACACTCGAATTTCGTCGTGATAATGATATTATCATGAAAACTAAAATTATATGTAGAACCTTGAAATTTCACAAAATGATCGCCTAGATCGTCGTTTCTGGATTTACAATGAATTTTGAGAATACTATGACTTATAAAAAAGTTATTTTGAAAAACTACGGTGTTTTTACGACATTTTGCTTCATTTGATCCAAAATACAAAACAAATATGAAAAACAAAAGTTTAAATACCAGATTCATTATTTGAATAAATCAACTTTTCTTAAAACTATATACAATTCTTGACAAAATCCTAGATTTTATAGGACTACGAAATAATTATCATTTATATTGTGTATATCTTTATAAATTTATAGACTTGATATATTCAAAGTAAATTTCAACAGTTAATGCTCCGAACATGGAAACAAATTTTGGTCATCAACTCTGGTCAAAGTGTTTACAATAGGTTTGAATATCTTTTAATAGGTTTACATTATAGTTTGTTTTTGTCATGAAAATAGAGTTAAATTATTAATAAATAATATTTTAGTTCTTCTTCTTTTTGTTTCTAGCAGTTAATGTAATTATTAAAGTTTTAGTCAGTTCTTTTTTTTTTCTTTTGATAAATTAGTT